GAGCGGGTCAATTACGAGTTGATGTAGGTACGATTCTCTTAACGGGAAGCTAGCTAGCTTTGTCCTTCGTTATTCACCGGCCACACACGCTGAGTTTTTCATGATGAATTTATATAATGTTTCCGTAAAAATACTAATGTCCAATGAGAATCCACTGAAGTTAAACGATTTGTAATGTCCGAACTTTGTAAAGGTTCCTGGTCAAATATCTGAAGTTTTCCGATTGATAGGCGTTATAACAATCACAGTTTTAGCTTCAAAAGTTTATAGCACACTGACTATAGCAAACTAATAATATGTACTCTCTCTTTTAGCGCGGCGCGTTGGTTATATTTATAGGCATGTGGAGGCTTTCTAGAAAATTCAGATTACGTAACAATACAAATTTAAGCGTTTACGCACATACATATATTGCTGATTCTTACTCTCGAGAATCTTCTACAACTTTGGAGAATAGGTGGGAGTTTCGCAAAACATATCTAACACAAAAAGCTATGCATGTTTCTAAATATACATTTAATCTAAACAAACGTCGATATTAAAAAAAATATATAATAATAAATTCGTTACAATCATAAGAACCGATGCTCTAGTCCTGATGCTTGGAACTATATAGCCATTGTTGATCATGCTAAGTTAGATGGCCATCATTAATAATTACATAGGCCTGCGAATCTAAACTTCATAAAAGTTGTTTTGGTTTTAATAATAGATTTTCCATAATTCAGCTATGCAGATTTCAAAAATAATAATATTTTTTTTCTATCACATAAGGATTTTTTTACAAATCGGTAAAAAAAACTTACTTAGATCAAATTATTATTTTGTGTACTACAATGAACATTATTTATTTTTTGTTTGTTAAGAAAAATACAAGCTAACTGAAGAAAAGGGTAGAACATTGATGTCAAATGAATATGCATCCTCATTCATCCTCACTTTTTTCTTTTGTATGTGAAATCTATGTCTTTTAGTCTCAAAACTAAGTGTTGTGGTCTTTCTTTATTTTATTACGTTATGACGTTTTGTGAAAGATATGTACGGGACGAGAAAAATAGATATCATTTTCGGATTCACGTACAGGAATTACTGTAGAACATGTAAAAATTTCAAGATATTAAAACCATCGCAGGCCTGTGCTATTACCCGAAACCATAGTTTTCATTGTGGCAAACTTTTGTAAAGTACTTATGGTAAGGTTGTGGCAATCCTATATCAATTGTTGTCATAGTTTGTTTGTTTGTTTTGAATTT